GCACTCCAGTCTGGGAGACAGAGTGAGACTCCAACTCAAAAAAATAAAATAAAATAAAAAGACCTGTTATCTATGTATTACTTTTGAATTCAATTACGGTAGCCATGTGTAGATAGTATGACTTCACTCAAAAGATGATGGTAATCAAATGAATGCTAGTGTCACCGTGAGACAGCAGAACAGTCAAAGAAAATGGCGAGAGCATGGTTGTCATTCAAGACCATTTTGAAGTGGTATTTGAAATTTGAGAATGTTGTGGAAGTACAATGACCATGAAGGCGTGAGTATGCAACAGAACCTCCAACACACCTAACAATCACACACATTCGTGATGAGTTTGAGATGCATGGTCCTGTGTGACGTGCAGAAGGGAAGATTCAGGAGGCCTCACCCAGTACTAAGTCCTACAGTAGTTTGCCATCATAAGTGTCTGGATGCTCATGGGGACCACGTGGGGCACCTCTTGCCATTGCAGAAGTTAAATGTGACTTGTGTTCATCTTTTGTTGTTGATATATATTGAGTATTACAATTTTAACACAATTTTTTTCATTTCCTAAATTGTGTATACTTTTTTGGGACCCCCTGTATTTTCACTCACACAACGATTCCATGAGGTAGATATTTTTATCCCTGTTTGACAGATTAGGAAACAGAATCAGAGAGACTGAGAAAGTCCTTGAAGAGTAAATGTTTTTGAACCAGAACTTTGTATTTATTTAATTATAGAAATATTGGGCTTCAAGACTATTTGTATTAAATGACATCTATCTTGAGTAATATAAACTAATTTTTTTTCAAAATTAAAAGTCACTCTTTTATCTGCTGCTTCTTGTTTTTGTCCCCTTCACATGGTGTCACCTAACACTGTTTGATGTCTTGTACTGGGACATCCTAAGACCACTAAATTTGGTGATTAACATTATCGTTCATGGGAGGAAGACCAAGCATCCTTGGTGGTACAATTAAATATTGAAAAAGAGAGCTTAGCTGAATACAGAAAAGAACCAAGCCACTGTTTAAATAGGCATTGTGTTTTCTTTTTCCTTGGAAGTTTTCATTTTTAAAACATTTCAGACAACTGAAGTTTTCTATTCTACGATGAGTTGGGACATATTTAGTACTTGATCAACCCAAGGACAAGCATCAGGGAAATGAAAGAGGTATAAGAATATGAAAAGGAGAACCACTGTACATTAAAAAGACATGACTGCATTCTGGGTCTTGAATTCTTTTTTCTTAATCAATCTATTTTTCTCTCTGGATAGCAACTGCTACTTTAGGAAACAAGATTTCGGCGGGTCTGACAACGGGAGGAGTGGCAGTATTCATCGGGCAACCCACAGAGGTGGTGAAAGTCAGACTCCAAGCGCAGAGTCACCTGCACGGTCCCAAACCTCGCTACACGGGGACTTACAATGCTTACAGAATCATAGCAACGACAGAAGGCTTGACGGGGCTTTGGAAAGGTAACTAACTGCAAGGTGGATGTTATAATCATCAGGACACATATATCCAATTCTCACTTTATCACAAAACAGAGTTAGTCAACATTCTCTTCTTTTTTTTCCCCTAGGGACGACACCCAATCTGATGAGAAATATCATCATCAATTGCACAGAGCTGGTGACCTATGACCTCATGAAGGAGACGCTTGTGAAAAACAAATTGATGGCAGGTAACTTCTTATTTTGTATAACAAACAGGTCTGTGTCTTTATAATCTCAGTTGGGAGTTTCTGTAGTCACACTATGCTCCATCTCTTAACTCTAATAGGTTTCTCTTTTTCAAAATTAAGTAATTTCCAACATTTTATGACACTTACTTAGAAGCAGAGAAAGAACCAAACCTTACATTTAAGAAGTTTTGCTGCAACAAAAACAGCATGCATCTCATTCTATGTCAGCATTATTCTCATTTAACATGAATATGTGGGGCTTTTGTTAGAATCCTCTTCTTTGTACAGCAGAATTCAGAAGGTAAGTCAGTCCATCCTGCCCTATATCCAAAACAGCCAGTTATGTAAGGGGCTTCTCAATGGTTTTATCCAAAAAGTGGTACCATAAGATAGGTTCTTTAAAAAATAATATTCTAAGAGTTTCTAGAGACATTGAAATTTTCCTTGGATAATGACTTTAGTTCAAAAAAAGTATTAAATGCCCATAGATAAGGGGGGACCCAAAAAACCCCAGCATTATTTTTTGGAAGGCGGGCTTCTCCCACTAGGTAAGTGTTCTAGAAACCCATCGGCATCCGTACCAGCTAGCATTGCTAGGGGAGGCTGTGTTCAGCTTCAGTGAATTTTTTTTTTTTTTTTTTTTTTTTTTTTTTATTGTGTTTGCTAATTTCATGATGGATGATTTACAGGCATACCTGCCTATGCCACACTGAGTATTCAGCAGTTTTTGACCCAAAACAACATGACTCCCATGCCCCACCCTCCCTATTCATCTGATCTCTCCCTGAGCGACTTATTTGTTGTTGTTGTTGTTCCCCTGATGAAAAAGGGCCTCAAAGGGAAACGTTTTGCCGAGGTGAAACAAAAAACAACAGAAGTGCTAAAAGACATCAAAATGTTTAACTCCAAAACTGTTTTGAGCAGTGAAAAAAGTCTGATAATAGGTGTATCGCATCAAACAGAGTACTTTGAAGGTGACTGAAGTTGAAACATGTAAGAATAAATACACCATTTTTTATAAATTCTGGGTTTTTTGGGTCCCCTTTGTATTAGGCATTATCCCTGGCCCTAAGGGCAGAGAGAAAATTGACAGGTTATTTTGTTGAAGTGTTTACAATTCATTATGCCCCTTACAAAATTTATCACCTTTTTCTACTGTAAATATAACCTTTCTTATGTTCTGTTTATTTATAAGACATCCACATTGACCTGTTATCAATAGGTTTACAGGGATCTGACAGATAACTGAAAACTACAAGCCCTCAAAAGTCTGCTGTTGACCTGTTTTCTTGATGCATTTTAGATGACGTGCCCTGCCACTTGGTGTCAGCTCTCATTGCTGGATTTTGCACAACACTTCTGTCCTCCCCGGCGGATGTGGTGAAAACCAGGTTTATTAACTCTACACCAGGACAGTACACAAGTGTGCCTAGCTGTGCAATGACAATGCTCACCAACGAAGGACCGACAGCTTTTTTCAAAGGGTAAGCTATGATCATCTGAATTCATATGTGTTCAGGCTGTCTGCGTACTTTAGGACTCCACATCACCTAAATAGTTGGTAGTTAGCTTACCGGCCTTAATATATGCAGGGTGCTTCGCATTGAGTTTTCCTTTTTTTTTAGATTGGAAAATATAGTTTATTTAGAAAGTAAATTAGAGAGAGAGAGAGACAGAGAGAGAAAGAGAGAAATTCATTCCCTAAGGTAGGGAAGGTGCCCAAAGCTCGCCTTTTCCTTGACACAGATTCTACAATACACCAGTTTCACCATGCCAGAACATAACAAGCTGTGATATTAAAGTTTCTCAACCTTTATCTGAGGCTCATTCGAAATCAGTGCCCTGTCCATTGGTCCCAATCTATTGGAAATGTTGCCAGAACTTTGTCCTCTCTGGGCAAAAGAATTATACAGTGAAGAGAAAGCATAATAGAAAGCTACGTGCAAACAAGATTTGGTTGTCACTATTTTACTTTGATGGACTCAATTTTTAAAATTGCATTAAAGCAAAAACTAGAAAAAAGTTATTACTACCGATTTAGAAAATAGATGCAGAAAATTACATGGTTTGAGTAATTGTCACACTTACCTAGAAACTAGAAGCATATAATAGGTCACATTTTCCCATAATGCAATATTACATTGCATTATATACCTTCCTAAGAAAATATTGTATAAACTAATTTGTGGACATATTCAACAAGGGTTATACTAGTGGTTAAATGATAATGTTCTATAACCCTTCAAAATGATAAGGCAATGCCTTAAGCCTTATAAAATAAGCATGGATACATCACACACATTATATAAAAAGAAAAGTTGCAATTCACCATAATCCATACTTGACCATTAATACAAATGAAGGGCATTTGTAACATTAACTTAAAATAGATATGCCGGTTATTAAATCATTAACTACTACATTTTATTTTCAAATTTAAAAACCTTTTGGGAAGACAAAGTACAACATGGGTGAAACTTGAAAACATTATGCTAAGTAAATAAGCCAGACATAAAGGGACAAATACTGTATGATTCCACTTAAATGAGGTACTGAGAATAGTGAAATTCATAGAGACAGAAAGTAGAATAGAAGTCACCAAGGGCTGGAGGTAGGGGGACATGGGAGTTATTGTTTAATAGGTGCAGAGTTTCTGTGTTAGGTCACAAAGAGTTTCTGAAGATGGATGGTGGTGATGGTTATACACAATGTGAGTGTACTTAACACTACAGAAACGTACATTTAACAATGGTTAAAATGGTAACTTTTATGTATTTATATTTTTTCACAATAAGAAATCCATACATCCTGGAGTCAAAAGAAACATATTAAAAGACCTGAAGGGGGAAAAAATTGGGGTGGAGGGAGGTGTATTTTATAGGCCAGATTTCTTTTTAAAAATCTATCCAAGGCAGATTTAACTGATAAGATCTTTTTCTCCTAGAACATTTCCCTGCTGCAAATAGAAATTTAAAATCAATCATTTGGTCTGCACAGTTTGTCAGAATTCTTAAAAACAACCCCAAAAGCCCCCAAACAAAATAAAAACCATTTAAACACTTGATAGTTTCTCAAAGCATAAGAATTGCCAAGATGGAGATAGCAGTGATTTCTTGACCCTGGAATATGATGTACTTGCCACTTCTTGGCTTTCTCCTCTTCCTTTTATAGTAGTTTCCTCCCTCCCGTTCAGAAAGTAAAGCAAATCAAAGCAAACATTTTCCCTCTTCTCACAAAGGAGACAGTTTCGAAAAAGGTAATGTCAGAAAACAGAAAGCATTCTTTGGCTTGGTGGTAATGAAGGTGGTCTATGGATTTGTACCCGTGTGATCATCAGGTGGTGTTGTTTAGAAGTTGTATAGGCCATCTAGAGGAAACTTCATGTTTGGTAGAGGAGGGAAAGATGAAAAATGGGTGCTTTTAAGTATCCTTATTTGAGGAGCAGCAAAATGAGACACATAAGCCGCCTGAACCATAAGAATTTCCAACACACTAATGGAATGGTGGCATGTGCTTTTCTAGATTTGTGCCTTCCTTCTTGCGACTCGCATCCTGGAACGTCATTATGTTTGTGTGCTTTGAAAAGCTGAAACGAGAATTAACGAAGTCAAGGCAGACCGTGGACTGTGCCACATAGTCAGCTTCCAGAAAACGGCGGAACATACCAGTGGGAGTCTTCGTTGACTGGATCATAAAAAACAAACAAAAACTTATTCACTTCATTTCACCCTAAAAAAAACAAATAAATAAAGGAATTTTGGTAGAGGAGAGCGTTTTGGATTTTTTAAAAAATATACATTAAAAAGGAAAACACACCTATTTTATATAACTCGATTTTCAGTATCTTAAGAAGGCGAAAGCCAAACATTCAGGACACTCCTTGGCAAATGTAATGCCCAGGTAAGTTGCCGCACTTGACTGATCATTTTTGGAGTGGCATTGGATGACTGAATATGAAGAACTTCAACATGTTTTAATTATCATTCCAACCGGTGGAAACAAAAAGTGGAGTGAGATGCAGTTTATATTTATAGGAGTTTAAAAGTGAAGTTATCAAGTAAAAGATGACTGCTTTTTATTGATTAACCACCATTGTCAGTTAACATATTCAATAAAGTATTGCTAATACCTTTTAAAGTTTGTCTTATGGGTCTATACCCGTATGTAAGAGTGGAAGCTGACCTAGAATACAAAATTGTCCAATAGCTAGTGAAGGTCTCTAGAATACGCTCACTCTGAATGTCACCAGTACAGGTTTTTAATTTTTAGAATCTATTTTTTTGTTGTGTTTTTTTGACAAGATCTCGCTCTGTCACCCAGGTTGGAAAGCAGTGGTGTAGCATAGTTCACTGCAGTCTCGATTAAACCCATCCTCTTGCCTCAGTCGCCTGAGTAGCTAGGACTACAGGGGTGCACCGCCATGCCTGGCTAATGCTTATATGTTTTGTAGAGATGGCAGTCTTGTCAAACAATCCTCCTGCCTTGGCCTCCCAAAGTGCTGGGATTACAGGTGTGAGCCACTGCACCCAGCCAGAGTCCCTAATTTATGACATCTATGACATTTTTAAGTCTAAGGGACTATATTTCTTTGCGTATTGTTGTTACTAGAATCCTGATGTCTGTCCCAGAATCACAGAATTTTAGGGCTGAAGGGTACGGTCTGAGCTTCCTAGTGAGATGAAAATGAATCTTTTTTTTTTTTTTGAGTTGGAGTCTCATTCTGTTGTCCAGGCTGGAATGCAGTGGCACACTCATCAACCTGGGCTCTAGCGATCCTGCCACCTCAGCCTTCCAAGTAGCCGGAACAGGCATGTGCTACCATTTCCGGCTAAATTTTTTTTCTTTCATGTAGAGACGAGATCTCACCAAGTTGCCCGGGCTGGTCTGAAACCCGCAGGCTCAGGTAATCCACTTGCCTCGACCTTTCAAAGTGCTGGGATTACAGGCTAGCCACCGAGCCAACCTGAAAATGAATCTTTATGGCATCTTGCCAGCAAAGCCAAATTCAGATTCATCATAAGCACCTGCAGTAACCCTTGTAATGCCTACAAACTATGGGCATTATAGGCAGAAGAGATAAGGGAAGAGTAAACCAGAGATGGAAAGAGTGTAAGACAAGGCCCAGTTAAGCCAAAAGCAAGGACTGGCAGCAGAAGGACCAGCTGTCAGGCATCCTTCCATTTGTGATTTAATCAATTTCACTTTCCATTTACTTCTCTGGGTTTTCCTCATGTCTTCAAGCTTATCTTCCCCATTTGTCCCCTGTAAAAGTGTCTAGGGGCAAACACATTTTACTCTTACCTCTGCAGTGCTTGTGGGTCACACCAGCACCTATCTTTTTTCGGGTCGTTCGGCCACCAGAGTCAGCCTTGCCCACCTGTGCATGGGAGAAGAACACAGCCTGGGAGCAGCCTGCAACCAACAACTGCTGGTAGTTAGTGTATCAGTATCTCAGTTCCCTCCACCTTCAGCAGAATACTGCGGAGGGATCAAACTCCAGTCACACACAGTGGTATTTTGCTTACTACTGTAAACTAAAAAAAAAAAAAAACAACACAAGGGTTGCATCAATTTGGAGAGGAGATTATTTCTAACAAAGGTCATATGGGCTGCAGGGTGGCCATCCTAAATGCTATGAAGTGTGGCCTCCAGCATAGACCAGAGACAGGAACTTTTAGGGAGGGAAGGGGAAGATAGGAACTTAAGCTGACTGGGTTGGCCAAGTTTATATATTCAACAGATTACAAAAGGACCTATGAATATTCATGAAGGCGGTCCTAGTCCTGACACATGCGTGTTGAGCAAATGCTACATACAACACATGGTGTAAGTGTATCACCGTTAGGTTCTATGCATCATAAGGTGAAGCGGTGACATGTAGGCACTCAAGTATGCAGCTTCTGTGAACCATCTGTAACCAGGCCATGGTCGTGGTCTTCTTATGGGAAGAAAGTTATTAAAACCAGTGTCTTGTCCAATCAAAGCTGCAGTTTTGGCTTGTGGAACAGAGGGTCCGCTCAATTAGTCAGTGTCTGGTGGTCAGCTACCATTGTTTAGCTACTAGAGAAAAAGAATGTGGCAGTTAGAATGTGGTTTATTTTTTACATTTTTGAGCCAGGGTCTCACTGTGTCACCCAGGTTGGAGTGCCGTGGCACGTTCACGGCTCACTGCAGCCTTGACCTCCTGGACTCAAGGAAGCCTTGTGTCTCAGCCTCTCAAGAAGCTGGGACTGCAGGCATGTGCCACACACCTGGGCTAGTTTTTTATTTTTTTGTAGAGATGAGGTCTGACGAGGCTGCCCAGGCTGGCCTTGAACTCCTGGGCTCAAGCAATCCTCCCCTCTTGGCCTCCCACAGTGCTGGGATTATAGGCGTGAATCACTGCACCCAGTCTAGAACATGGTTTATTTTTTAAGTGTGTGTGGGTGTGTGTGTGGGGGGGGGGAAATGCATGACTTAACCCTTGCCTGGCACGATCTTAATGTTATGGTCTGAGTAACATTCCACTGCTCACCCTTGATACCGATAAATCAAGGGACAGGGAACTGGTAGAAAGAAGTTTCGGCGAGGCCTCATCTCTACAATAAATCAAAAAGTCAGCCAGGCGTGGTAGCGCATGCCTATAATTCCAGCTACTCGGAAGGCTGAGGTGGAAGGATCGCCAGAGCCCAGCAGGTCAAGGCTGCAGTGGCCAGGAGCGGCCACTGCACTCCAGTCTGGGCAACAGAGTGAGACTCCAACTCAAAAAAAAGAAAAAGAAGTTTATTTCTGAGTTCGAATCCAGGGAGCAGAGTCAGACCAGAGGTGTTTAGAGGTCTTTCTAAAATGGTTCTGCCCACCCTTCAGGCCTTGCAGTCCACTTTTATCATCCAGAGTAGTCGGTACCTATACATTAGCCATGTAACCAGCAGAGCACTGAACTCAAGTTACAGCCGCATTTTACATTTAGGTAATGACACTTAGAGTAAAGGAAGTTTATAAGGCCTAAGACATCACGCGATGCAAAAGTTATGCAAATCGCAAGACTTACCATTACATTGATGCAAAAGTTATATGAATCACAAGACTAATGATTACACTGATACTATATTGTTCAAACCCATGTTAGGAAAGGTAGTAAATGGGGATTGACGTCTTTGGGTATTGACTGCAGGGAAGTCAAGGACCCCCCGAAGCTATTTACTGGGAGTTCATAGAAGATCAGGGAACTCTCGATAATGTGCTCAGGAATATGCAAGAGTGCTTGGACCCCTTGCCGAATCCTTCTCTAGGGGCTGAGGCAATATGGATGGACATTAGCAGGTCTCTGAATCATTAAGTCCTGTTTATATTTGGTTACTTACTTAATTGCCATAAAAAGTCTCTTCTGTCAGTCTTATGGTCTCTATTTTAACATTAATTCTTGTCAGCTGTGTTTAAACTGCAAAAAGTAGGGTGTATAATGAGGCATGTCTGACTGACCTGATCCCATTTTGACTGAAAATTGTTTTTTTTTTTTTTTCATTAATCAGTAGTTTTTATTATGGTTTTGTGGGGTACAGTTAAGGGTAGGTGTACAATGACGTTTCCTTCAGGCACCCTGTAGATAAGAAGTGTTTTCCCATCCCCCGACAGA